AGGTCTTTCTAGTGCTGCCTGAAACTACGCTTGGCTTGAAATATATTAGTTTTATTATTTTCTTCTTTCCTTTCTGTTCTGCAGGATCTCAGTTTCATCTCTACAATTTTTTATTGTTACTGAGACCTATCATACATACTTTTAAATATAATTTGTTTTAGAAAAAGTGATCTCACCGTCTATGACTTTAAGACCTAAAAGAAATTCCAAATGAATACTCCTAAGTGACAAAGCTGTTTCTGTAGGTTTCTGCAGCTCACTGCTTACTGTAGCTGGACCAAAGGACAGAGAAGCCCTGGGGGACAGGGCCGCAACCGTCCTGTCAGCTTTCCAGGACAGAGCCCCGGTTTGGAGTGAGTCTTCTCCGTTAAGCAGGGTTCACTACCAAATGAGATTAATCTACTTGGGTTTCTTTTTCCTTCAAAACATTTCAGTGAATGACAGCTTAAATGAGAACCAGACTATCCCAAATCAGAAGTGCAAACAGGAAACAGGCTCCAGTACATATAAATTAGGTTGTCAAGACGTTCACTGGCATTAAACGGCTTCCAAGCTGTACAAGATAACAGAAGTTTTGAATTTTATTTTCAACATTAAAAAAAAAAAAAAAAAAAAACAAAACCCACAGGCCAGTCTAAAGCAGTGAGCTCTTTTCAGAGGTCCTTGGATTCCTGTGCTTGGGAGGCAGAAGCTGACAAGAGCACCGAGATGCAGTTTCTATCCCAGAAGCCGTGCAAACTGGAGGACTTTCTGTCCACTCAGCACAACTGGAAGCTTCCCCTTCTCGGAACAGGCTGAGTTAAGCAGGCAGACTGAGGCTGCTTCCTTTGCATAGGAGTTCACGGTCAAAGGATAGTGCAGAATCTGTTTCTTTATGAAACACTTACACAACATTCTACAGGAGAAACTAAAGGACTGCATGTCTGTTCACTATTTTATTTTTTTAAATAGCTGCTGTTTCTTCAAGCCCTGCAATCTCAGGTGTATAAAGTCAACTTTGAACCTGGCAGAAGTTAGTCTGAACTGGGTTGTGATTTTACCAGCTGTATCAGCGTACACTTGGATCTTACCCAGTCTCCATCACCTTACATGTAAAACGAGGATGGTAATCACTCATAAAGGAAAAGGTTGTTTTGAAGATTAAAGGTGATATAGTATATGAAGTTAGACTCAAATATTTCAAGGAAAGAGTCACTATTGTAACTACTATTAATGTCAGGCTACCTGGTGGTGAAACACAATGATGCTTAAATTTTTTGGTTCTGATCGGTGTTGTTCTATTGATATGTTTTTTTTTTTTTTAAATCTCAATCCCCCCTTTTTCTTTTCTTTTTTTTAAAATTAATTTATTTCTTAGTATCTTTTAACTAAGGGAAAACTAAATTTAAAATAGTGTGATAGATTATAGTAACGTTTCTGTTTCCCTGTTAACCTGATTTGAACCCCTGTGTTGTTCTCCACATCTTGTTCTGACTGATTTTATTATATTCTGTTTTGCTTAACAGTATCAAGTTTGAGGGTATAGGCAACCATTTGGAAGGCAACCAGATATTCTATGATGCCCGTTATTGTTTGACTATTATCTTCTTTGGAATCCTGTAAGCTCTCCAATGTGGGTTTTATTGGTCTTCTGTACTGTTTTGTTCAATTCTTTTATACTAGCTGATATAGGCAACTCATTTTAGGATAACAAGAGGCATAATGGTAACCATTGTTAATCACCTAGTAATCTTTTTTTTTTTTTGCATTATACACTATGTCCATCCTCCTGTTCTGACTCTGTTTTGCTTTGTCACATTGGGTTTTTCTTTGGTCTGTCTTGTTTTGTTTTGTTTTTTGGTTTTTTTTAATCTTTTTTCTTTTCCTTTTCAAAGAAAAAGTTATAAGAACTGTGGGAGTAATGGAAACCAAAATATGTGATTGTTAGCATAAAAAAGAGAGGAAGGAAAGTGATCTAAAGGATATAACTGCAAGTATATTTAAGTGTGTAGGATAGAGAACCGTATTGCTGAGTTTTTCTTGGATCATTAAGCAGAACTGACTGCAATCTCACTGTATTAATGTCCACTTTGTATGCTTTAATTTTATAATCTGCACAACTGTTTCTAAGATGATAATGTGTGATCTATTAACTGGTGAATTCTTATTGTATTTTTTTTTCTCTTGAAATTCTGTATTACTTCTAGCCTTTTACTGTTTTGTTTTGTTTTTCTCTTTAAATTAAAAAAAAGATTAAAGGTGATATAAAGTGCCTCATACAGTTAAAGTAAATGACAGTGATTACCAGGTTTTGTTGGCCAAAATGGTGAAATTAGTAAGTTCCAGTGTTATTCCATGCTGCCAGCTTAGCTTAGGTCATTATCACTAAGTGGGCCAAAGGAGGTAACAGATCTGAAGACAAGGAGGACAATACTTGCTTGCTGTGTCCTACAGATAGCAAGCAGTCAGCATGCTGAGCTAAGGAGATGGCCTGCAAGGGAGCCATCGCCTCTGACTTTTCAGTTGACACTGGATATAGGGCAACATGTTGAGTACTCTTGATACGTGACTCATCAAGACAAGGCCCCTCTTAAAATAAGCAGCGACTTAAGTCAGAGCTTTAGTGAAGTCTTTGATGTCTGCTGACTCCTGCTTTCCTGGAGGCCAGCAGACACGGAGCCTGGCAAGCAGAGCAGGGTCACCCAGTGACACACAGACAAGCATGGTGGGAGAGGGGCTGTGGGGACAGAAACTCTATCCCAGGGCTGAGGGACTTCAGTATCGGTTGCTGATGACTTGCAAGCCCAAAGACGGCCAAGGGTCAGGAGGCTTCCACGTGGCTCCTGGAGCCTGGGCTTCTATGTCATGTTAAAGGCAGAGCCAGGGCTCTCCTGATCATTCACTCCAACTCGTATAGCAGCCTGCACAGAATGCATTTGGAATAGCAATGAGCTTCTGTGTTATTCCCCTTAAAGGCAAGTTTTGCTATGAAACAACAGCGCAGGGCATCTCTGAGTATCTCAGTCTCAGCCTTGCAGGGTCCCTAATTCTCAAGCGGGAGGCACCTTGCAGCCTACTTCAGTTAAGGCACTAGTAGGTGGCATTGTCAGGACACTGATTCCACACTATTCAGAGGGCAGAAAACACTCCACAAAGAGTGAAAACAGAGTGTAAATTTCTTTTCCTTAACAAACCAGCTTCTTCTCGTTCAGGTATGTATAGGCCCTTTCTTTGTTGACTATAGATTCTCCTTAAAACTCCTTTCCTAGGGAAAGGTGACCCAAGTGGTGATACCAGGTCTGTGGCTCTGTTAACGTGCTGGGTGCCATCAGACACAGGGGCCTCTGCTCCATACCTGTCCCCATCTGGATGATTAAAACAAAACCCTGGGGGCTGGCTACCGCCTCTTTTTGGTCTCAGGAACACAAAGCAACAAACTTTAAACAACAGGAAAAAAAAAGGCAAGAGGAAAACAAGTCACACACTACCTGCTGAATGAGGTATGCTCTATCCAAGAGACAGGAACACGGGGAAAGGGGACCCACCTTTCTCAGGAAGAACTGAGTAGTACTTTGACCTCTTTCTGCTCATCCCAAAGTAGGCAGCAGTAAGGGATAGACACTTGGGATCTGTAACATGAACTTTTCCAGCCTGTGGCACAGTAATGCTTAAAAGGTAGAAAACACAAATTTTATTGTAAATGTAGTTTGTGGAAATAATTTATATTGAAGCAGAAGAAAGTGTTCAGAAAGAGACAGAGCTCACTGAGTAAGTGAACGGAAATGGACCACTGGAGAAAAATGAAAGAAACTCAAGAGGCCTAAGCCACCCATTTCACCTGGCCAGGTGAGGCCAGGTGCTCCAGGTGTGACCAGGTTACTTGTCTCTCTTTGGGGCTGAACTAAGACTTGGGATGCTGATGGTGCTCGTACAGGAAAGCAGGCATGCCCCATGCATAGGAACCAGTAGACTTAATGCCAGTGCGGGTGGGCCTGGCACCTGGATTGCAACCGATTGCTGTTGAGCACAATAAATCCCCGTATACATCCTGCCATGCAAGCTATGGAGAAGGTTGGTGAAGAGTGCACCCTAGAAGGAAGGTGGTACCGAGTAGAGGCAGTGGAGTTTACTGGGCAGGTGGCACTCGGCCATGCAAATGTGTGGACGGTATCTGGCCATCCTAGATAGTCAATGGGTATTTTTCTGAATGAATGCTGAGTACATAATAACTAACACCCTGGATCTGCAGTCTTATTTCACAGGATGTCGCACTTTGGTGCCTATGTCATAAACACTGGCTACTGAACTTGGCTGAAGTGGGGATTTACTAACTGGGGCTGTTCCTATATGAATCAGATGGATGCAGATTCTTAGGTGTCAGTGCTCAGAGCACAGTACCCAGTGGGCAGTGTCCCTGCTGGCTTCCGCTCACAACAAACAGCGCATGCTCTTCCAAGACCCAGAGCCACTCCCACCTCACATCTAGGCTCATGGATCTTTGTCACTTGTAGATAAAGTATCTCTATGAAATCACAGAATACCAAAAAGTATCTTGGAAAACAGCCCAAGCACCTCTCACAGGTTACTCAGCACTTATACTACAAATGTAGAAACCACTGCATCATCCCCGGCCACCAACATATCAACACATAATAAATGCCTTCTTCTATCACGACCAGAAACGAGAGTGATAGAACACTTCACTGAAGGGCACTCTGGTGGCCCAGCCGATGGCAGCATCTGCAGTGAAACAAACGGCACCTGTTTCAAAGAGCCAGAAAGTGTTGCTCAGCAACATGAGCTGCTGAAAGATAGTTTTTAAAGTGGTTTTTGATTTCAACAATATCTTCAAATTAACAGCAAAAGTCTTTCATGTTCTGCGTTTCTTAATTTAAAAAAGCAAATAGAAACTAAAATTCTTTATTTTCACAGTGGTATGTTAGACTTTAAACACAGGCAAACCTTAGAACTTTACTGATAAGGATAGCAATTAGGGTCAGTATAAGGACCCAGGGTCTCACCATCAAAGCCGTCCTCTTCTGACCCAAGTTCATCATCAGAGCAGATGTTGAGGACATTGACCAGCATCTCAGTCACTACGGGAGGGAAGAAATGGAGAGCAGAGCCTGTGTCACAATCCTTGCTGCTACCCTGGCCTTCCTGGTCAGCCAGGTTTGTAGACACACATCCCACCATGCAGAGGCACAGCCAGTAACAGCCACCGCGCCAAAGGCCACCAACTGGCCCTGAGGTCCTAAGTGCTTCTTGTTTAACAGATATCATCTCATCCTTAGGAAAATTTACACTGAAATTTATTAGCTCTTGGTCAATGGGAAGTGGACAACCTGAATAGACAGATGTGAACAGCTAGAAATCCTTGAGAGAACAAGCGTTTATCATTCAGTTTTTATTTATTTGCACAATGCTGTTGCATGATCTAGATTAGATTATAAACTTCTGTTCCACATGGATCAAGTGAATACCAGATTTTCATTTCAAATTTTTAATTTCCCAGATAACCCTGTACAATGATAGTTATGTCATTTTGTGTTTAAATAAAAATCATGGATTGATGAACTAGTATATTTGAAGTCATTTTTGAGGATATAATTGATCTTAAAAGTGAATGTGATGATATAAATATTATTAACTGGTTTCCAAAAAGACTCTAAAATAGGTACATTTTAGTCAGAAATTTAGGCAACTGGGTTCAAGTAGGCTTATCTAGCTTTATGCACGAGTTGAGTTCTAACGTGTGAAGGCTTCTTTGCTTGTCCGTTCTCCCTCCGAAAGTAATACTCAATGTAGAAGGGTATTAAAAATACTGTCTTGAAGAGATATGATAAGAAGTAGTACTTCAGCGGGATCAGCATTAATCCAGAGTTTGGTTAGCTGTCTAAACTGAATCCTGTTTACCAATATATTATTTTATAATGGTTGCTCAAATTTTGAGTAACTTGTAGAAAACACTCAATGCAAGTTCATTCTGGGTTCCCAAGCTTGGCTAGGGTCCCACTTGTGACTTCCAGAGGGACCACGGGTGTGCACCATGTGCAGCGGCTGAGCCAGCACAGGAAGTGGCTGGGGACAGCTAGGAGCTCCTGGGGCAGATCTGAGCATCGCAGGGAAGATCTCCCACGGACAGTTCAGCACTGGTCCTGTTTAACCACCCTCCAAATTTTACTGGAAAAAAAGCCTAGATATTGTAGGACTTTAGAGAATGTTAGCTTTTCCCTGGAACTCAGGATAAGAGAATAGGAGGGGAAACAAGCAAGGGAGAGAAGAGCACGGGAGGAGGACAGGAAAGGGGAGAAGGATCAAAGGAGTGAGAAGAAAAAAGCATGAATCTCAGAAACAGGCAGTACCAGCCCAGGGCCTTCGCACCGAGCTCCCTTTGCAAGGCGCCCTCCTCCCCTGAGCCACAGTCTCAATCTTAATTGGGCAGGCTGGCACTGAGCTTGAGATCATTGTTCCTCAGCCTCCCCCAGCGCAGGCACGACAAGCATGTGCCACCAGCTGCTGAGACAGCTTTAGCGGTGTCCTCTACCCCTAACACAGTGATGCCCTTGTATTTTAGCAAGGTACTTTTTGTTGCTTTTCATAGTGTTTTCAAAATATAGTAACAACTCACATTATGGTACAATGATTACTATTCACATCTGAAATATATGGAAAATGCAATTTGACGGGTAATTTGTAAAATCAAGTATGACTTGGGAAGGAAAGGAGGTGGCCACTGTTGCTCAAGATCAGGCATTCCGTCATTTTTCAGTCTCGTTTTTGAGACACTGAACCCATTCCCCGAGCTTCCCTCCTGTCCCTAGGCCCTCGTATGCCCGCTGATCTCACACTCACAGCTGCTCTGTGTCATCCCTGAGTGCTGCCGATGAGGCCTGGGGCCTGGCCGCGCTGGGTTCACAGGCACAGCGGTCCCACCCCTCTGGCTGCTGCGGGTATTTCCGACTTTACCACGCACCTTTTTCCCCGACGAACGGCAGAGACCAGGTGAAGACGTCCATGAAGTTCGGGAGCCAGTATGGGTGTGGGGAACAGTTGAACTGCCTGATGTTCATGACATTGTTTTCGTACTTTAATACCGCGGCTGAACAGTGAAGGGAGACAAAGAGGAGGCAGGTTAGACTCATAGCATGTATCTCTGCCACAAGCATGGCTTTTGTTGATCTAGAAAAGTCTACTGTCTGACACTTAAGTTTCAAAGCATCAAAGCAAATAGCTTAAGCAGTCCTGAATGCTAACACTATTCTGCATAAGCTTCATTAAATGTGATATGCTAGTGCAAAATATATGAACAGTAAATTTAGCAAATATATAAAGCAGTTAAACAAGTGTCTTTCAAGAATGGGTGGAACCCCTTTTGCAGATAGGAGGCGCTTCTAGTTTTATTTAACACCTAATGACACAAATAAAGATAGTGTAGCTAAGTTAGACATAATTTAAGAATCTTCTCCAGTAATTGAACTGAATTTCTTTTTTCAAAAAAAAAATACACATCTTTAATTCCAGTAGAATTCACAAAATAATGGGAGTTAGATTGCTTTCTTGACTTAATAAAGTGCTTGGATTACTTTCCATGGAGAACAGAATGGTAAGACTCTATCTTTGACTTCTGAAAAAGATACTTTTATAGGGCCACTCATTCTGTGAACAGATGATAGTAAGCTGGGTGACAATCACAGCTTGAAAACTTGCATGACTATACCTTGGCTCTACTTCTGCTTTCTGGACAGTTACAGAACGAGTACAGTTCTGCTTCTAAGTGACAGCCTTTTAAATATGAAAAGCACACCCCCTTTGCCTTGCAGAGCACTGCAAGATTTCCCTTTATCATTCGACCTTGGCATGACTAGCGTTAAGCTACTGATGCGTTCCTCCATGGCATCCAAGAAGCTGCTCTTGGTTATATGGGGGGCTTGAAGATACAGAGACAAGGAGTCATTTCATTATGTGTTTACGTTGACTTTTACATAAGAATAGGGTGCAGCACTGACTACAGATAATAGAATGAAGACAGCCAGAAACCTGCTCATTAAAAGTGACTGGGTATTTATTGAGCTGGAGCTTCTCCACTGACACAGAGCCTGTGGAAGGAAACCTGTAACATTGCAGGGCTCTCCAGCTGGGCTCACTGTCCCAGCAGGTTTCCAGGATGTATGAATGCCAGAATCCTTCCTGCGCCTCCTGTGGGCCCACACACGTCCCCTCCCACATGCCTTCTCTGATGTGTCTCAGAGGACATGATAGCTCCTTCTTAGACTTAGTCTTGCCTCAGACCCCCATGGTGTCTTTACTACCTAACCTTGATCATGGTTATCTGTCCTAAGTGCCTAACCTCCCTGTCCTCTTTTATTTCTGCTTTCTCTAGTCTTTTCTTCACGCTGTTCATCCACACTATGGCAATGCCCTCTGATGCTGTTGCCAGTGTTCAGACAGTCCAAAAGGTAGACCTGATCTGTGCAGAGTATGGGAAACAGCTGTATTGGTTGGTGACCTGCAGTCTGTACACCCTGATATCGCAAGCAGCTTACAGGTAAAAAGGACTTTGCTCTCTCCCATGATCCAGGGAACATTAAGTAACAAACCAGGGATGGGACCTGTAGACAGTGCAGTCAACACACATATGAAGAGTGACAATCTCTTCTTCCTGTACATTACTGGGGTCGGCATAGATATCTGGAAACCATATTACTCGATATCAGTCATTCTATCTATCACTGGGCCCAGGAATACATCACTGTGATATTAAAAGCACAGGAAATGAGAAACAGCTATGGCAAGTTACCATTCCAGTACTTCTGGACGGGAGAGAGAGGCAAAGTATTTCTAGTGCCTGCTGAGTGCTATCCTGACCACTGGCTTTGCAGGGAATGTCTTTATCATTTTGAATACTGCATGTTTACAGTAAGCATGGATCCTCATACTTTCAAAACAACTTTTAAGGCTCTAAATTGTCTTTTCAAAGAGTAATGTCTGCTCTCATTTCCCCCCACTCTTTCTTAACATTCAGTCAGCTGAGTAGGAGGGGGAACAGGACAGCTGGCCTCACTGTTCACGTCTTTTCCACTGTGGACTGGGCAAAACTTAAACAGAAAATATTCCAAAAGAAAAACAGCATTGGTACTGAAAATGTACAACCTTCTTTATCTTGTCATTAATCCATCTATGATTTAGCATGACTCTTCTCATAGCATTTACATTGTTTTTGGTATTCCCTATGGTTTAAATCTAAAACACTTCCTCAAATTCTCATGTGTGTTGAAGGTGACTGCACATCATAGAGTGTCGTGCCCATCTGTGAAGTCAACACGGACGACTTCATGGTTCAGTGTTGTTAGCAGATGGGCCTGAGGAGATGGTCACTAGAGCTGTGACTTGGAAGAGTTCATTCCTGTCCCTGGAGCCTTTCCCTCTCTGATTCCTAGCTGCCATGCACTGAGTAGCAGTTTTGTGCCAGGTCCTTCCACCATGTCCTTTCTACCTTGGGGGTCAGTCAACCATGGACCGAATCCACAGAAACTGTGAGCCAAAATAAGCTTCTCCTCCTTTAAGCTGTGGGTATTTGCCCAAGCCGCAGGAACTAATACAGTGCTCATCGTGAGCTAGGTAACTTAAGGTGCAAAGGAGGGCACTGGATTGCGGTATCCATGCAGAGTCTTGGAACTCACTCCTAGTGGAAACTAAGGTAAGGTGTGTTATAATTAACAGCACCACGGAGGATGGGGAGAGGTATCCTCAAAATCAATCTGATAAACAGGTGTGCCAACACTTGGGTTATAGCAGAGGAGCTTTAGGAACAAAGGAAGGTACTCGCTCAAGATCAGGCACTCAGTGCTGGCAGGTCTTGCTCTGTTCTAACTCAGCTTTTCCTGACACCAAATCCATTCCCTCTGCAGTAGTCTCTGGTGCCTTTCATAAATTATACAAGCATGAACACTTGACTTATCTGGTATACTGATTTAATCTGGACAGTGGCATTCATGATTAAAGGGGCTCTAGCTTCCCCGCAAATCCATAGGGTGCAAATTCACATGAGAAGGTAGGGCTTGTCCAGACTGTGACAGCTCTGCTCCACTGCTGCTGAAGCAGGAGTATGTATTTATTCAGCACTGGCTCAACACAGTTTACTTGAGTACTACTATTGATAAAGAAACACTGCTATATTTTTATTAGCAATAGAAATAATTTTAACCAGAGCTGTATTTACTGAGCACCTGCTATATGCCAGGTATCATGTTTGGCTCTGCACAATTATATCATCAGTCTTAAAACACTTCTCAGAAGTAGTTTTTAAAGTTTTTGGACTTTGAAGATAAGGAAGCGAAGTTATTTGCCCAAGTCCCACTTAGAAAGCTGAAAACCTCAATTCTAGTATAAATTTAGTATGAATCCACTGCTCTTTCTAGTCTAACATACTTGCTCACCTAACAACAAGAATCAATGTCTACCTTGTCGGGGACACAGGACTTTTTCTCCTCCCTTACTCCCTTAAAGAAAACACTCAGCGGAAAAGTCAAGAGCCCAGCCCACTGGACGAACCCTAACATGGAGTACTGCTGAGACCAAAGTTCCGCGAGCGCTGTCTCCTCACACACGTGTGATTCACTAGACAGTTTAGATGACCCCTTCTCATTTGCACTATGTCAGCAAACTTCCAGAAGGAAGATGTCATCATGAGTGCAGTGACTGATCAGTATTATCAATATTTTTCTTGTTTTTCTCTAAACTTAAGACAGAATAACTTTAAAAATGCAAGTATATCAATGTCTCTTTTTTCTTTTCAGCAATACAACATACTCATGCAGAAATATTTCTTGAATAACCTTACAATAAGTTACTCATACACTGGTATTTTTGTATAATAACTATGCATCACCAGAATACATGCAGAAAAAAAAACCCCAATCAGTCCAGCTATGCACAGTCACGACACCTGCAGTTAGCATCTCATCTTCCGCCCCCGTTTCTGCCTCCCCCGCTGCCGGCTGCCCCTGGTCCCTGGAACTGCAGAGCACAACCAGAGCTCTGATTGCACTGTCTCCCTAAGCTACTTGAAAGACAGTAATCTCCAGTGCATAATATAAATGGATGCACTTCAGGAGTCACTCGAGACCACCTCCTGAAGCCTTATGTAAGAAACAGAAAGGACAGAAGTCAGCCACTAACAGCTGCTCTATTCCCACAACCTCACGTGACTTCACACTTGTCTTGTAGGTCCCGGGAAAGATCGTGACATGTACATGGGCCTTCTGTTATTCACCACGGTTTGGAGAAGACCAGAGAACACAGGAACAGATGTTTTTCTCCTGCAGCTGCAGGAGTGAAGAATCTCAGAAGAAAATACGGTGCAATGGAGAGAAGACCAATTCCACAAGGCCTGAGGACGAGCTCTTTGGTGAGGTCAGAAATGTGCAAAGATTCTGCAGTCATGTGGCCCACTGACACCTCCCACACCTGCAGAGCCCTGGTCCTCTAGCGGCACCTTCTGTGGAAGTCCAGCTGGGAACCAGGGCCTATCTACTGCTTGGTGTATTACCGTTTTTAGCAGCACTTTCCTCCTTACACACAGTGAAACTTGAAGAACACAATTCATCTTATCCCACTGTTCGGCTGGCCCAGCTACATGCTAAGTTACTAGACCAGAGCCAGGTCTGTAAAACACAGGGGTTTCCCCTATCTAAAAATATGACACTTTTGTTAACTTTTATTTCATAAGAACTTGGTAACATTTGTTAATATCTTCTTCACAACTGTTACCACCCGGGAAGCTGGTGACAAAGTAAAACCAGGCAGGAATGGAAAGATCACAGAGCTCCTAATTTAGGAGACATTATCCAAACACTGCTGCTGAGAAGCCTCCACTAATTTACCCAAAGCCAAATCTCGTGCATCCCTATAGCTGACTTCTAATTCCCTCATTATCCCTGTCCTGTTCTTGCATGATGCATTTTGTTTAAAAATATTTCTTTTTTAAAATTATTATTAAGGACTTTGGCGAAGAGTAACATCAATTCATGCTGGTTACTGTGTTTGGTAACGAAGGATTGCCCTTTAAGCTCTTTATTCCATAACTCATAAGCTGAGGCA